TGCTGCCAGCGCGAGAGGCTCACTGGCGCCTACAAACCTAAGTGGATACTTCACGCATTGCACAATGCTTGAAGTATCCACTTAGGTTTGTAGGCGCCAATGCGCGTTTCGCGCTGGCCGCCCGCCCACCATTCGGCGGCGCCTGAAGCAACTATTTCACAACAGAGGTGATGCACAGTATTGTACGAAATTGAACGTATTAAGAATGACAGGCATCCTTTAAAACTACAGATCTTTCCTCGCAAAATAAATCAAGATACTTATCGTACACAGGAAAAATCTAAGAGCCTTTAGCTGAGGCAAATATAGAGGTTTATCCGGTTCAGGTAAAACAAGGTGGGAATTTCTTGAAAGATAATTAAGTCCTGTTACACCAAAGAGGTGTAGAGAGTTTTAGTAAATTTTGTCTCATGGAATTGACGCTCCCCCATTTTTACCAAAACTCTCAACTATATATTATTCTCCGTTGGACCAAACAGACAAAACAAAAAAACAAGCAGACCCTCATTCTTCTAAGACATTATAAATTTTCATCCAAATACGTCATGAGCAATTATCGTTTGTATTTACATGTGGGTCAATTAACTTTGGGTCTCAACTCGCACGTGGACCAAAACTACCGTGCCGAAAAAACGCGTGGACGTAAATTACTGGAGAAAACAGGTGCGCGGAAAAAATCGTTGACGAAATGTCCTATAACCGAATTTACCATTCCGTCATGCTGTATTTCGCACAGCGTCAATTCAGAGTCAATTCTGCAGGAAAAAAGGTAAACGTTACTATACTGGTACAGGTAACCATTCCTCTGGCAGAATCGACTTTGAATTCACGCTGTGTAAAATACAGCGTGAAGGAATGGTGTAAATTCTACCAATCTCTTTTCTCAGTAAGACGAATTATCTTGGTCAGATTTTTTCTGTCTTTCGCCCATTTTTTTTAGAGGGCAAAGTGAAAAAGCCGTCAAAATCCAACGCGCAGGCAAAAACAACTCTACCTACGCAAATAAACCATTATTTTTAAAAAATACAACCCGTGGAGAAAAAACCGAGGACCGAACAAACCTGATAAATCTTGCCATTTGCGTGTGTAATTACGACCCTAAATATAGCTCCATTGACACAAAGAAGTCATGCACCTTTATGAAAAGAAACAAGGAGTACACGTGTCCGAGAAAATGTAAATGCCATTTTATAAAAGGATTCACTGAGCATTTCTGTGAGATTTTT